AAAAAAAAAGACAGACAGTAGATTTCCATCCCTGGTCCAGTAAGAGCATTTAGATGAACGGTTGGAAAAATGATTACAGTTATACAACAACTTTAGTAGCTTCCAAAACGTGGAGTATTTAATCATTTACACTATCAACAGCTGGCTGAATCAGAATCAAAACTGCGAAGATGCCAATCTAATGTATAATGGAAGTGTAACTCTGAACAAACAGGCTAAATTCTACTGGACCTTTGAGAATCAGCTAATGTCAGACCTATGTCCCGAATATTGTGTTTTGGAATAAGTTTTCTGTCTTCAAATGAACCTATTGTTCAAGCAGTACGTTTTATTTATCTGAATAAAATGCTGTAGTATGCGATGTGCATGTAAATTATTTATTCATTCTAAGATTTCAATCTATATTTAGTGATATGGTGCCATGTCATTATCAGATACTTTGAAAGACAACATTTCAAACCAAAAAGTCAACTCATCACTCAGTTTTGCTTGGAAACTTAACATCGTTCTAGTAGCACTTAAACAAGAGAGTTTAAAGAACAGAGTTGATCATGCTCACATTGACAACCGCCTCTTTAGTTTGAGCCATGTCTGAGATGACGCCATCTGTGATCATCAGCAGCACAAAGTACTGTGAGCCATCCGTCACTTCTGCGGCGCACCTGATGTCATAAAACACAGGAATTAGGACAAAAACTTGATTCAAGCACACAGAGCTGCACAGATGTCAATATTCACCTATATTTCACCAGGCTAATCCCAACCCACCGGTGTCTTTAAGCTCAGTTAGAAAGTTTAATGGAATTTGAAAATAGAGGAAGACATTAGTGATTCCTAAAAGCTTAAATCCCATGTCCAGGCTTCAAGCTATAAATTAGTGATGCACCAATTGCAGGTTTTTGGTCGATTGCAGATTACTGAGTTTTAAAAAAAACTTAACCTGCCGATTCCAAAAATTTTTCGTCTGAAATGTTGCTAAATATGGCAAGAAAGTTGCTCAGTTGGTAGCAGTGACTATTGTCAGCTGCAAATGCGCAGACATGGCCTGGCCTGGCGGTTCATTGTTAGACCTTTGCTGAGGTAGATAAGATTGGAAGAAAAGATCGGCTCCACATATAAATATTGGCCGATCGCACTGCTCAAAATCAAAGGTAGCATCGGTTCAGTTGGTATCTGACAATAGCATTGGCTAAATGGTGATACATAAAGGCTTTCAGGGTTATGAGGAAAACTGTCATTGATCCTTTTAATCCTGGAAAAAAACCTTGAATTAGATCCTTCTGGTAAAATACTGCTGTCTATCATCATCACTACTACATGTCCCAAAAATAGAGACTACGTCATTAAAGCCCTATTAATGCTAAATTAACCTTTTTGTGTTAAATTATCCTGTTACACACATCTGTACATGCTGTTAATTGGAATGTTTTTAGATAATCTTATACACAAGTTGTCCTTTGTTTCAATTTACTTTTGATATTCTTGCTACATTTCTGTTTTATTATTGCTTTTAGCCGTTATATTGAAGGTTATTTTTCTATCATTTTTTTGCTACTGCTATTACGATGCGCACTTTCATCCGTATAGCAGGTGTTAGTCTCACCGAGCCACCTGGTTAATGACCGGAGCGAAGTTGGTCGGGCCGTACAGCTGGACGGTTCGCAGGGTGTGGAAGTAAGCCTCCAGCACGCCTTCGATCCCCACACAGTTTGGATTTTCAGTGTTAGAATTCTGAAAAAGAGAAAAACAAACAAACAAATAAACAAACAAACAAAATCTGTTTACGCATGAGAAAACCAGGCGTTCCTGTCGCTTTCTGCTTAGTCATGCCTTTCGATTTTTTTTCTACCTAAATAGAAATTGTAATATTTTTTGTTTTTGTGATTCTGTCATTGAGTTGGATTCCAGTGTGAGTGGAGTTTGCTCTCTGTTCGCGTGAGCTACAACGCTTCATAAAAGTGATTAAATGATTATTGAAATAGTCGTCAACTAATCTAGTAATTGTTAACTGGAGTACACAAGCAAAAAAAAAGAAAAAAAGAAATAATTTTGCTGAAGAAACAGCCAGGGCTGTAAATACACTTTAAATGCACAAAAATATATACATTTTGCCTTTAAAGTTAAAAAAAAAAAAAAAAAAAAAAAAAAAACTTTTTTTCCCCCAAAATTCCTCTTGGAAAAATTTTTTTTTTTCCCCTGG